TAATGAATCAAAGTTAATTTAATTGAAGTAATTAATTTAAAAGTATAATCATGAACATCTTAAGCTGGGTATACACTTAACGAACGAACAGCGAACGCAAACTTTCGTTGTCATTATTTAACGGATATAATCAAAAGTCTCAAATTGCTGCCTGTAGCAAACACCGAATCTGGTCGAATTATGGTGTTTGATGAAAAAATACAAACAAACAAAAAAGACAAACAACTTAAGAATACAAACACGAACGTTCGCGTTCACTATTCGTTTGCTAAGTGCCAAGTGTATACCCAGCTTTAGACACATTTGCATGGTCCAAACAGGTTGCTAGAAAGACGAAGCACAAGATTTCGTTAAATGCAAAATTGGAGAGTCTCGAAGAACGGTTGAAGATGGTCAGAAAGCATGCTGGCGATTTGGCTGTGCGACATGACTTCAATCAGAAGCTGCTCTCTGAGCATTCGGTCCAGCTGGAGACGGAGGATCACCTCTACCGATTAAGCGGCAACACCGAGTCGTCGCTTCGCCAAGAGGCGCGTGAATTCGAGAAGGAATGGACAGATGTGAATCGCAGAGTATCGAACGTGGAGAAGGAGTTACTTAAGATGATGAGGAAACTGGCCGAGGCGAAACAGATGGTCCAGTTTGACGAGGATAGTTTACGCAAGTGGGAAGAGATGCTTGCGCAAAAGGAGGAGGATAATCAGTTGATAGAGAATTACATGAAGCAGGATACACAGAAATACAAGGTGTATATACATAGCATCTATCTATAGCAATTATGACATGTAGTAAAGATATTGTACGATGATGATCAAAGATGGCAGGAATGCGTATAAATATTCCTAGAGCAGCATTGCAAGAAATTATTCTGGTTAACTCGAAATAGTTTAGATATTACAAATACTACTGATTTCTCGTCGTTTTATTTTATTTCTTGTATAGAGGAAAATAGAGTTCAAAATAAATTAAAAATATTAGAGAATTTATTCAATTAGGAACTTCCATAAATATTTAGTTTAGATCACTAATTTGCCTATATTAATTCATATATTTGTTTTAACAAGTTCTAGGATCTAAAGTTGTTTACAATTTTCTAAAATGTATTGTACAATACAATATTAGGTGACACTGTACTGTGCTAAAACACAGAAAAATTATAAAATTGGGGTTTAATAATAATAATAAAAAAATATATATATATAAGCGAAAGATTCCAGGAGCCAGATTTCTCTGTATGAGAGTTGATAGATTTTAACTGTCGTGTGCGATGTATAATTATAGAATACAATTTGATCCTTAGGAATTGGAGCAGAAACGGCAGAAACTCAGCATGGAACTTGAAACTTATCGTCAAGCTATTGTCAAAAACGTCGGTGAGGTACAGGAAATGGAGATCGTTCTGGACCGTACAGCGAAATTGTACATGGAAGCGTTAAAAGAACGCAGACAGATGATAAATCAATGGACGCAAAGCGTCAACGTTCTGCGCCAGAGGGACAACGATATACAGAATAGTCTAAAAGTATGAACGATGAATCTTTCTCCAATTTTGCGTCGAGTATAAATTACAAATCGTTGCAGGAAATTGAAACGTTGCGAGAGATCGGTAGGGAAAAAAAGAATAATCTCGAAGAAGTAGAACAATTTTTAAAGGATCAAGTTGTCAACAACAAGCAGCTGGAGGAGTTGATTAAACGATCGGAGAAGGAACTTGGTGTAGTCCAAGAAAAAAAGCGCAAAGTCACGGAGACGATTGATATCTACGGCATCGAGGTGAAGGCAACAGAAGAAAGTTTTAGATTATATTTTTCATAAAATTATAAATCTATTTTTGCATATTATTACATACTAATTTAAATGTAACTGCTACTTTATGTTTTATGTTTTATGTTATTAACTACTTTATGTTTTAAATTTTATTGAATAATCATACGTTTATCGATAATTATCGAAATAGCTGCATACTCAGAAGAAATTAGTGGGGGATTTGGCACGTCGTACACAACAAATTCGGGCCAATGCGAAGCGCAAAAGAATTGAGATCGAGAACAAACATATAAAGGTGGACAATTGCAAGAAGCGAATCAGTGATTTAACGTTGACTTTAGAAGAGATTGAGAGTCAAAAATTAAACGTCGAGGAGAGAACGAAGCGTTTGGAGAAAATGATTGAGGTATATTTCTACTATATATTCAACTATTACAGTATATTTTTATTATATTATTATTACGAGAAGAGAAAGTAATTCTCGAGCTGCTAACAAATCATAAAAAGAGAACTGATTTCATTGTAATATCTATCATATCATTTGAAAGAGTTGTAACTCATTATAATCTGTTTCAGCATGATGAAAAGCGAAAATCCGCGATCGTCAAGGAATTGAATCGGCTGCAAGGTGCGATTTTACGCGCAACGAAAAGGATTGTAGAATTGGAGAATGAAAGGAAGATCCTGCAGATGGAAATGCAGAGCGAACACAAGAAAGTTGATCTGCTCAATACCTTGCTTACGAAAGAGAACAAACTTCTGGGGGAGAAGAAAGAGGCTCTTTATCAAGTGGATTTCAATCTGCAGAAATGCGAGATGAAACTCGAACAGATCAGAGGACACGAGCGCGACAAGAATGAAGCCGAGAAGAAACAAGCGAGAATCGAGGAGCTGCAAGCTGTACTGAAAGAGAAAACAGCTACATCTAAATTGCTGCAAAATCAGATTGTCAGTTTGGAGGTAAGGTCTATTTTGTATTTTTTGAAAAAAATTCCATTAATCTAAGAAAAGGAAAATTTAAAAAAATTAGAAAATTAAATTTAGTCAAATAGAACTTGATCAAAGAAAATATTCTTCTCTGGTTTTTTTATCTGCAGCACGATATGAGAAAAGTATCTAGTTGCTTATCGAGCGAAAACGAGGAGCTCGAACGGTTACGGAGCAAAAAGCAGGATCTATTGTTGCTGTTAGACGGGGGTGAAAAGCGGCTGAAAATCGCGCAATCCCGAAACGAGGAGAGGCAAGTTGAAGAAAATATAATGCGCCTTCGGGTGTCGCAGCTCGAGAGAATGACATCGAATGTAAGCGATAAAGTCTATGATTTGGAGAAGTACCGTCTTCATCTCGAAGCTGTGAGTATAATTTCCTGATTTAGTTATTTCGTTAAAATTAATGAGATTGACAAGAACATTAGTCTAACAGAAGATTCTGTAACATGAAATCGATTGAATTCGGTATAATAATAAATTACAGGGTCAGATTACTCAGATTATCTTTATTTGACTGATTTGACATATTCATTCATTCATCTTTGCTCACAGGCGCTTAGGGAGCGCGCAACGGAGATCGCGGCACAGAAAGAGGCGCTTGCCGTGCAGAAGAGGGTCGCTGGCAACGAGTGCTCGGAGCTGCGCACTGCTATTGCCGAGAGAAAAAGCAGGATACGGCAGTTGCAAGCGCGATACGACAGCGGCGTCGCGACGATGGGTGCCACCCCGGATGGAGCGCCGATGAGCACCGCGTACTTGAAGATACAGAGCGCTCAAGAGCGGTACATGCTGCGAGAGCAAGGCGACAAGCTGGACGAGGCTATAAAACGAACCGAGCAGGAAATACGTAGCATGGAGACCACGCTGCGGGTGGTAAATGTGTGTAATGACAAGTATAGAGATAGTATGAGCGCGGTTGATCAGGACGGACCTGAATGGACGGAACAGAAAAAGCTCGACGAACAGATGCATGACGCGCGGCAGAAGCTACTGCAAAAGCAGATGCAGCTGCAACAATTGTTCGAGGAACTGCAGGTACTTTCGCGTGCATAAGAGCTTTTTTGTACTTATCAAAAAGTCGATAAAAAAATATGATATAAAATTAGGACAAAATAAAATATTTATCAGAATAATGAAAAATAGAGGCTGTATGTATGTTTAAACAAAGGAATTACAGTGACAGAAAGATCTAAAAAGTGAAAACTATGACAAAATTTTATTTATTTATATTTCATGACACAAAAAATCTCTATAGTCTTCTGTTACAAATAATGCGCCTATTAAATATTTGTTAATTTGTGCAAAATATTAAATCAATATAAAGAATAAATTTAACTAATAGTAATAAGATATAATAGAGTCAATATTCCAATTTTATTGGGCAGAAAGCGCAGAATGATTATACTCAATTGCTCGATGATATCGAGAAAGCAAAGGAAGAAAAGGAAAACAAGGAACGTTACTTATCGGGTATTGAGAAACAGACGACAGAACAAGGAGAGAAGATATCCAGAGCTGACAAGAGTCTTCGTAAGGCACAGAAGGATATACAAAATTTATATATTTCTAAAAGGGACGATACCGTGCTGCTGCAACAGGTAGATAGACAAATAATAAAAATCTGCCATTAAAAATCATAATTTGACGATTTTACCTCAAGATACTTCCTAGAGAGAAGTGGAACTGCGAGAGCTTCAAGAACAAAATGCGCTAGTTCTTCAAGACATCGCAGAGTTCACGATTCGTCATGTGGAAGCTGAAGCGTATGTTAAAAAGTTGCTGATGGCCAAGAACATCGAGTTACCATGCTTTCCTCCATCGATTAGATCGCCTATGAGTCCTTCCGGCAGTTCCATAGGCTCGATAGATCAGCCTTTAAAGAGCACGAGCCGCATGAGCGTGTTTACGTCGTCGAGGGAGAGCATCGGCAGTGTAGTTAAGATAGAGCCACAATTTGGAGAACGTATGTGGATTAGGATATCACTTAAACGTCTTCATGTTTTTTTTTAGATTTTAGACATTGTCCAAGTAGTTAGGAACAAAACATTTTTGTTAATCAATTTTTGATAATTGATTTTTTTAAGATAAACATGAAATTTTCATCAAATCTTAATAAAGAATACTAATTCGTATTTATTCGATTTTTAGCAGCAAGTAACGCATCGAGGAAAACTACAAAGAGTGATCCCGCATCCAAAAAATCTCTCAGTTTACCGAAACGGTCCACTATTGTACATGAAAAGCAACAATCGCGGAAGAAATCGTGATAATAATTTCGATAATATAATAATTAAAATTGGGCAGACTTTATATCTACATGATTGTCAAGGTATAGCTTTTTTCTTATTCCATCTATTCCCTGGTGAAAAATTTTCTTAGAATTACTTCATATAATTTTATAATTTTTTAGATAATTTCGCAGATTTTTTATACGAATTGGAACATTTCAGAAATGTCGAAAAAATCTACATCTTCATCTCTGAATTTTGTGTGTGTGAAATATTCTAAGATTTCTCATTTTATTTCCGAAGAAAACTTATAAAACCTGGAGATGAGGTTTAAAGTATTTATTTAGAAACCTTTATATTTAAAATATAAAAAATTCTTAAAAATATGAGATGAGAATGTCTTTCTACCAGGGTTTAGATTTAGAACAAAAAAAAATTAACATGAGTGATAATAGCTATCATATCAAGCAAGTTGTACTTATTATCGCACCAAGACCGTGGACACATGCATGTTGTTCTCGAAGGTCAATGCGAGTGTGTTGTGTGACTTTGCCGTGACTTTTTATGTTAAGAATAACGTTACATCGCATAAGTCTGCAAGCAGCTTGTTCAAAACCACAAGTGTCACTTGTACATTTCGGAGATAAATATAAAGTGAGTGGAGTCTTTAGAGAAATCAGAAGATGCTTTGTACTTGTGAAAAACACCAGCCTTATATAATATTTTACATATTTATTTTTCTGTTCTCCAACATACTTACGCAAATAGTGAATTTTTTAAGTACATATCTCTGTTAACTTTTAACAGTATTTGCTGCTGAATATCATCCAAACTTTTTTGTAAAAATATTATATATTGATAATGTTATATTTGCATTTGTAAAATAATATATCGGCGAAAGATATTGGCGTGTATCTGACTCTCTCGATCCTTTCTCTAACCTAATCCTCTATCTGATCCTAACCTAATCCCCTTCTAACCTTTACCACCTATCATCTATCTACCCAAAGTTTAACTATATTCAGGAGGAAGTAATTGCTCACTGAGGATTAAATATAATTTCCAGATGTCTAAGTCTAAATTAACAGAAGTTGAAAGTAGTAAAAGTTTCGGAGGATGGCAGAAGGTATATACACACAACAGGTAAATATATAAAATATATGATTTATACAAAAGATGGTTATATCAGTATTACCTACAAAGGATTTGTTCCTGAATTTATTTCGAAGTATTTCGCATGTACTGAAAGAGTGATTGCAATTATTTGACAGTACAGAATTAGGATGCAAGATGAGATTCGCTGTTTACATACCACCCCAAGCTGAGAAGGAACCAGTACCCGTTATCTACTGGCTATCAGGTCTCACCTGTACCGAGGCTAATTTTACTCAGAAAGCCGGAGCGCAGAAACACGCTGCGGATTACGGCGTGCTTCTTGTCATACCCGACACTAGTCCAAGAGGATTGAATATTCTTGGAGAGGATGACAGTTATGACTTTGGTAGTGGTGCCGGATTCTATGTAGATGCGACGCGCGAGCCATGGAAAAAGAATTACAAAATGTACAGCTACATTACCAAAGAATTGTCAACGTTGATCCATGAAGAATTTTCAACTTTGCCATCTAAACAGTCCGTAATGGGCCATAGGTATAAAAAAATAATCCTTATGTGGAGCACAATCTTGGAATATAATCTTTAAAATGCTTCTTCTTTCCTCTTGTTTAGTATGGGAGGACATGGCGCTTTAATTTGTGCTCTTAAAAACCCTGGGATGTTCAGGACTGTCTCAGCTTTTGCACCCATATGTAATCCAATCTTGTGCCCATGGGGAAAAAAAGCCTTCTCAGGGTATCTGGGAGAATCAGAGGATAATGCCGCATGGAAGGATTGGGATGCTACAGAATTGGCAAAAAAATATAAGGGCCCAGTTTTGGACATTTTAATCGATCAGGTCCTAATAATATTTAATTATATCTCTGACATATGTTTATATCTAATTTACTCTAGTAAATTTGATTTCTTTAATCTTTTGATTTAAACGATTCGTAATTCTTTAATAACGAAAATTTGGCCGTTTACAGGGCAAGGAGGACTCGTTCTTGAAACAAGACCAGTTATTACCAGAGAATCTACTAAATGCTGCGAAGGATAATGGTATCGCGCTTACTCTCAGATTTCAGGATGGTTATGATCACAGTTATTACTTTATAGCTACATTTATTGAAGATCACTTCAAGCATCATATGAAATATCTTAAAAGCTAAGTCTGTGCCCGAAATTATCGTTAAAAACATTGGAACTTTGATATCGTAATTTACATTTTTACGAGATTTATTTTTCATGTTTTTGAAATAAATTTAAAAAATACTAAAAATATTCGCAATTTTCAAAGTTTTGCTTATTGATATTAATGTACTTCTTTATTATGTTTTCAAGGGATAATGAATCGATATATTATCATACATATAAATGGAGTATAAATAATAGAAATATATAATTCATATCTGAATTTTTGCTTTTAGCAAATCTGTTCTTGCACTATGATCAAAACTTTACAATTTTTGTACAAAGTGATTTAATAAAAGATTTAATAAAATATCATTGTGATCTTCGAGGTTCTCGGAACCCATGCCAGAGAGTCAGCAGAGGCTCCCGTTTCTGCCAAATATTAGCATTGCCCCACGCTTGCCAGAATCTGCAATTTTCAGAAAAGAATTATGATGCAATTTATATCTATCTACTGATCTCTTGATTTATATCTCTTGACGAATAGCGCAATTATTTTACTAAAAAAATTAGCTGGCATTGCTTAAATCTATAAAATAATGAGTATTTATGTTGATATTTTTTACTTTTCAAATTCACTAACAATAAGATATAATTGCGTAAATTTTTCACAAGAATTATATTTCGAATTATATATATGTAATAGGACTCACATTCCAAATAACGCGCCACCCAAATGCGCAGCATGATCGAAATATTTCCATCCCAAGATGCAACCGACAACGTCCAAGGTCATTATTCCTTTGATTGCCTAAGTAAAAAATATAATAAATAAAATGAACACTATTATATCACGGAAGAATTTTTACGTTTGCGTTCATTATTAAAATTTGGAGAAGAGGTGATACGTACCATACCCGCGGTAAATGTGAGCATAGGAAGGAAAATGATACTGAGTCGTAAATCAGGATATTGTGTGCAAAGAAATCCGAGAACACCCATAATCGCTCCGGACTGAAATAAAACCAACTGTTAAAAGTTGAAACTTATATAATGATAGATTTCCAAAAATCTATCATTTCCAAAAATATAATAAAAAAATGCATAGACATAAAAAAAAGTGAAACTATCGTGTATTTTCAGAGAACATTTTCGAGATATCTACAATATATGAAGTATTTGTTATTCTAACTTTTCAAAATAAATTTAGTTACCGCTCCTAGAGAAAGGCCTGGCACTCCAAACATAGTTTTATACACGTGACTAGCGAAGCTGGAAATCACACCGCTCGATAAATACAGAGCCAAAAATTGCTCTTTCCCCAATGCTGTCACAGCTATTGTGCTGAAGCTGTGCAACACGTACATGTTCGCAGCCAGATGGAACATGGAGTAATGTGAAAAAGTGGAGAGTACCATAGACCAGCATGACACACCTTACATGAAAATTATCTTGACGTTCATGATAATTCAGAAGCAAAATAACTGCCGCGAGCTTTTACATCAGTTGCTCAAAGCGATGGTATCACTTACTGGAAGCCGGGTTAGCGCAAAAATAGCGCACCATTGTCTTCTGCAATGCCGGCACTCGCCAAGCTAAGAATACAACCGCGTTTAGAAAACATATAGGCACAAACATCTTCTGTCCTTCGGTCAAGTTTCGCCACCATGTCTCCATTTCGCTCCTCCATCCTGTTCGCTAACCGATACATTATTGTATATATTTAAGTATCTATTGAATGTTTCCCCAAACAATACGTACGTTAACTCGAAACTGTCTGTAACGATGGATTAGTCTGTAAGTCTGGCTTCTGATACGTTCGTACTCCCAAATTGCAGCACCCACTAAGGAGGCTCCACTAAACTAGTAAAACAAAAATGCAATATATTTATAAATCGCTTATTTGAATGTACTTCTGAAATAAGTACATGATGATGAAATAAAATATCTACAAGCATCACATTGCATTTTGTTTTCAATATCATAAACTATTTTACAGTAAGTTCTTTTTTTATCGTTGTTAACTTTTTAAATCTTTTTTATACACAAATGAAACAATACAATCTGTTATCACAGCTGCAAAATCTGTTGTTAATTGTATAAAAAAAAAGGTGGAAGTAGATTTAGCAGTTTTATTTATTTACCATAATGGTGAAACCAAGATGTTTCCATAGCCTCATAGGAGGTATAGTTCCAGTCTCGATATGAATATTAGGAAAAGGAGACTCTGGTTTGAAGGTGATCTGCGACCTCTTTAAATTTCTTATTTGTCTATACTGTAATACTTGCATTTTGGGCCTGTAGTATTGCGCAGTTGTAAAGACACTAAAATTCCATAAATACACTTGAATTTTATATAGCATACATTTCAGTTGTAGGAAGTATAATAAATCATTATATAATTATACAATATAATTTTTAATAGAATATCTCTGCTTCAAGGGACATGAAATAAAATGGAAATGTCATATAAGTGGAAATAAGACGTTGCGATCTAATCTAATAAATTTTACTAATTTATAATCTTTATATTACACGACATAGAAATAGCTTCAGCAATTTCACCATTTATTTTATACATAAATAATAAAGTGATATCATTAGTGAGTTATAAACATCTAATGGCTTGTCGAAAAAAATTTTAATACAATCTACTGTAGAAGAAAGAGAATTATTATAATATTATTCGATAAGAAAGCATAGTCTTATGTCATTCTAAATTCATCTTCTGAAGTGTGAATTGTGCTTCAAGAGATGTAAATTAAGAATCGTCCCCTACATCAATAAATATAACAAAATCATAAGATAATTTTATATTAATAGATAATGTTGCTTCTTTCCGGGATAATCTTTTAGTCAATCTTGCAGAAAGTTTCATCATAATTCTTTAGGTGTAAAAAATCTCAGTTTCCTTAATCTTTAAAGAACTTAATTTTTTTAAAGGATCTTTAGAAATGTTAATTTTTAAAAGCAACAAGAAAAAAATACGTGAAACGAAGCGAGAAATTAAAAACAGTGAAGTCATAATACTAGTAGAAACTGAAAATCCGTCGCACCATCTGTTCGCCGTGTCGCCCAAACGTAAAAGCGTCCTGACCGTCATGCTATCGGAATTTTCTGTGCGTTCGCAGAATGCATAAATATTCCATGTACGCGAAATCAACGAAATTTTGTTCACGCAGAATCCAGATAACCTCTCATGCCACACATCTGACGTCTGACAGCCGAACGAAGTGACGAGACTGACGAGTGACGTTGCTCCTCCGCCTCACGCGTCGATACCTCGATTAATCTCGCGAATACTCGCGATATATCGTTTCGTTATCGCAAAAGAATCCCTAGTCGCCGGCGGTTGGCAGTAGGGATGGGCGATACAGCCTGAAAGTATCGATACATCGTATCGATATGTATCATAACTGAAAGTATCGATACACAAAAAATATCGAATGTCTCGTATCGATATCATCAATATCGAAACATACATAATTAGATATTAGATTAGTTCGCCGTTTGCAAAAATTTTTGGCATCCAATTTCTTACTTCTGACGTAAAATAAAGTATAAAATGAGAGGTATTTTGCGGCATAAAAGTTACAACGCGAGTACACAAGAACACCTTAAGTACAATTTTTTATTTATAAAATAAATGTTTTTGTTTATATTGTTTATATATTAAAATGTGTACTTATAATTATATCACATTAGCACTTATAATTATTGTAATTATGATTACATACATTAAACAAAAAAATAATTACTTATTTTTGCATGTGAGTGTAATAACAGTAATATCACATATGAAATCTGCTTAGAAAGAAATGAAAATGGAACTTATAAACTATAATAGCAAATGCAATACTTTGATCATTAAATTAACGCAAATTTACCTCATCTGTATGTATACACTTACGAGACATTTTATTCTTAATTGTAAGCAAATCGTAAGAAAATTAGAAAAGAAACATTAGTAGAAACTTAATATATAGAATGTATAAAAAATAAGTCCACTGAAGTGTGTAATTACTGCAAACAGAAAAATAATTACTTATTTTTGCACGTGAGTGTAAAAATTCACTTCTATAATACGTCACAAACGCCTCGTCACCAGTCGCAAAGGATGGCAGGAGCGTTTGTGATGTATTGCAGAATTGATAATTTAGAAATGCCAATCGCCAAGATCGAGGGAATGTAAAAATAATAATTGATTAAGGTGATCACCTGTCAACCTGTTCCTATCTTCGGACATTATTTTACCTGCTTCAGAAAATAACCTTTCGGAAGGAACTGAAGTGGCAATTAGTGATAAATATTTAATTGCCAAGGTTCTTAGAGGCGAATCTCGGGCCATATTCCAATATTTTATGGCATTAATCACTCATTTTTAACGGTGGTTGATTCAGATAGTAACGAAAGTCCTCTGGCATTTGGTTAGGATCTTGATTAACTATCTGTTTAGATATATTTAAATTTACAAGATTTTCATGATAGGACCAAAAATTTGTTTTATCATTATTATCTGAATTTTCTTGTTGACTTTGAAATTCATGGTTAATATCTGTAACCTTAGAATTTACAAACCTTGTAATTTTATTAATAGCATGTGAGCAAGCAACTTTATCGCTAAAATTAATATTTTTAAATCGAGGATCTAAAATTGTAGCCATAGCTAACGATGATACGTGTTCAATAGTTTCAAATCTTTTGCTTAACTGATCTTTTAACGCCTTTTTAAAGTGATGACCTATATCAGTAGAAGGTTCAAACGCCTGTAATGTATTCTTTAAAATATTGACAACTGGAATTACTTTACTCGCAGTAAGATAATACTCGCCGCATATGATTTTTGTTGCCTCTTCAAATGGTTTTAGCAACTCAACAAATTCTTTAGTCGATTGTAACTCCGAAGCAGTTAGCATCGGAGGAGCCGTAGGACATTGCAAAATAATGACACTAATTTTTTCGGACAATTGTATAAATCTTTGTAGCATATTATACGTGGAATTCCACCGTGTTTCAACACTTTGGATTAACTTTAAGTTCGAATGAATACGTAATTGATCTGCAGCAATAACTGATTTTTTAAAATAGGTGACAATATTTTTTATTTTTGCGCAGAAACCTTTTACGATATTATCGTCATCAATAATTCTCGCCAAAACTAAGTTCAAGGTATGCGCAAAGCATGGCAAATGCTTGTCTGCACCGAAGGCATCAACAATAGCCTTTTTTATGTTAGCAGCATTATCTGACACAACGGCTACAATATTTTGACTTTGTATATTCCATGTATCTATTAAATTTAATAGCCAATTTTTCAAATACTCGGACTGGTGTCTTTCAGTCATCTCAACAACGCCAATTGTGACAGATCTATGTTGCTCTTCTACTAAGAAGTGTGCCGTTAAGCCCAGAAAACTTTTCATATTTAATGATTCAGTCCAAATATCAGTAGTTAAAGATAAATAATTTACTTGTGAAAGTTTTGCTTTCATCATATTTGATAAGACCTCGTATTTCTCTTCCATGAGATGAGTTATGGTCCTCCTACTAGGAACCGTGTATAATGGCAATATTGCATTCATGAAGGTTTTGAAACCCTCCTTTTCAACCACACGAAATGGTAAGTTGTCCTTAGCAATCATAAACAGCAATTTGTTTGTCACGTCGGCAGCTTTGGATCCTCCATCTAAAAAATTAAAAATATCATAACAATTTTTTAAATATACTTACATTAGTAATGAATAAGTTATTTAAAACTCAATTAAATAATTACAACTTCTCCATACCTTGATATGATTTTTGTTTTGCAAATGCTGAGTCAATTCGAGGTTGTTTGGAGGAAACAATTGGATTTCGTAAAACTGATACCGATCGCGTTTCTGTTTCTGATGATATAGACGTAGACGGTCCCGGAGATGAGACTGGGTCATCAAGGTCAATGATATCTTCGTTGTCTACTTCGGACTAAAATTCAAAGCATACATCAATTAAGGGCGAATAAAAATAAAAAAATATATAAATATTGTGTTATGTAATAATATAAATAACAAATATTACTATTTGTCTTTTTGTCTTGACGAATACTGTAGATTTCTCCATCTGAACATCAGGATGACATCGATTCATATGGAAATGTAAATTAGTTGTATTTCCAGATGTTTTTACATTTAACTGGCAGATTTTGCATTTAGCAACTGTATCACTTTTTACAAAATAATTCCAAATAGGATTTTTTGGCGGCACTATAAAGAAAAAGAAATAGGATGATTATTATTTAATAATTAATAAAAAAATGAAAGAAATAAGGAAATAGAATAAAATAAAGGAAAACTTGCACGCCTACTTTTAGTACTTTTATAGAAAGTAAGTGCGTTAGTGCGCCGTTAGAAGTTAGAAGTTAGGAAATGGGAACGTGGAATGTGCTCTTTCACCTTAGGACTTTTCTTAGATTTAACTCTGTAAATATTACAAATAAGGAAATTATACATTCAACTCTATAAAACAGATCATAAGAAATCTGAGTGCGTTTTCCAGCAAGTGATATAAGTCGACTCAAATGTCGTTCTATCTTTGTTATTTATTGAATGCTAAGTAAAAAAAGATAGAACGACGTTTGTAATGACTTCAATGACTTGTGTCGCTTGCTAAAAAGTGAACTAGATAAAAGAAATATATAATAGTTATTTTTTATCCTTACCTCGATTGTAACTGCAGTCTCTTGTAAGAGAGTTACTGTTACAGTACGTACCTACGTACTTGAACCTTGAACTAGCTGTACAGAATTCTGCTCTTCACTTTACTGGACACGGACACTCTAAGACTAGTCTAGACTAATACAAATAAGAAAATTATCCATTCAACTCTATAAAACGGATCAGTAAAGGTGCTTTTTCATGCTGACTGACGCTCGATTTGAGCGTCAAAATTGATCACGTGATAGGTCACGTGATCAGTTTTAACGCTCAAATCAAGCGTCGAGTGTCAGCATAAAAAAGCCTTTTAATAAATAATAAAATCTGAGTGCGTTCTCCAGCAAGTGATACAACTCAAATGTCGTTCTATCTTTGTTATTTATTGAATGCTAAGTAAAGAAAGATAGAACGACATTTGTGACAACTTCAATGACTTGTGTCGCTTGCTGGAAAGTGAACTAGATAAAAGAAATATATATTTAGCTTTACAGCAAACAACACAAGTCGACACAAGTATCGTTTTATCTTTGTTACTTATTACCAAAAAAGAAAGATAAAACGATGCTTGTGTCGATTTATGTCGTTTGCTGGAAAGCTCCCATAATAATTATTTTTTATCCTTACTTTGATTGTAACTGCAGTCTCTTGTAAGAGAGTTACTGTTACAGTACGTACACTACGTACCTACGTACTTGAAGTACTTGAACCTTGAACTAGCTCTACAGACTTCTGTTCTTCACTTCATTGGACACTCTAGACACTGAGATAACGTAACGGCAACGGCCATAAAAAAACAAAGGATAGTCAAGGGCCGGCCCACGGGCGCCACCGCCAACCGCCACGGACGGTCGACATAGGTCTACCAAAGTTCGATATTCAAGGGTCAAGTATCGATACGTGGAAATATCGAGCGATAAAGTATCGATACAAATAGGGGATAATTGGGCACTGAAGTATCGATATTTGAAATATCGATACTGTATCGCCCATCCCTAGTTGGCAGTATGGCGGTTGGTAGGCCTGGGCAGGCCGCGCCGGCGTTCGGCGCGACGTTCATCGCGATGGCGGGCGTGCGGCGTTTGACGTGAGAGAGTGCCGGGGAAGAGAGCACTCCAGACTCCAGTACAGCAAAACAGTCCGAAAATACTACGGCGACAATGGCGGACGAGGAGCTACCAGCCGGATGGGAGAAACGCCTCAGCAGATCGACCGGTACGTCGAAGTCGACGGATTTTCACGCTCGTGCAAAATCCGGTCGCCACGTCGAGTCGCGAATTTCGCTGCGGGGGGGCCGCGAACGATCCCCTCGTCCCCCGTTTTCGCCGGCGCGAGGACGTATGGGCCGTATGGCACTTCGCCGACGTTTCGCCGACGCCGATCAATTCGCCGCGGTCGAGGGAGATGCGCGCTCGATACACCCGTCGAGGTCCTCCTCCGAGAGGACCTCCGTTCTCGACGCGAGCGTGCTCCGATCGCGATCGATGGGAATTCTTAGACGGCGAGGGTTCGAACGCCGGGTATAGCTTGCCGGAGATGGTCGCGTCCGGGGGGGATTCCGCCGAAAGAAACTTGGGAAAATATCCCGCTCGTTATCAATTAATTTTTTGCTGTATATCGATTCGTCGAACTTGAACTTTTTCGCGAGTCTGCGAACAAGCTTGCGGGGATGTTGAATTAATTGTCTCATTAATCACATAAACTTTTCAAGAATCAGCACGCGGCTGCTTTCATTATTTGTGCATCAACTTGCAATTGAAATATATGGTTCTAGTTCAGTCTGATCTATTTCTATTTCTGATCTGAATCTGTTTCTTTGAAAATTGCAAGTATACGCAGTTTTGTTCTCGAGTTTCTTGAACATAATCATGATATTTGTCGAGTTTAGAGTATTGAGTGTGTCAAAAATTCTACCTTATATGAATACAGAGCATAAAAGTGGTAAAAAAAGTGTTTAATATCAATGTTTAGGTGTTTCATCTCAAATGGATGAAATTGTTGTAGGTCAACACTATTATTTAAATATTTATACCAAGGAAAGTCAGTGGGATAGACCAGATAAACCTGCGGATCCATCTGGCAATGGCAAGGCGGACGGACCTGAAGAAGTGCAATGTTCTCATCTACTTGTGAAACATTCGGGCTCTCGACGACCTTCTTCCTGGCGAGAGGAGAATATTACTAGGTCAAAGGAAGAAGCTCTCGAAATGGTTAAATGTAAGCCTACAGCTTTACAATTTTTCATCATTGACGAGTATTCATTATTGCATTGTTCGTGTAAAATATTTTTGTCTGTTGCTATATTTGTTTTATTGCATCACAGTCCTAGAGTAGGACAAAGTTTCTAAACTGGTTTCGTTACAATTGCAATTTTTTATAGAGATTGTAACCCACTTTTATTGTGGAAGAGTAAGTTTGTTTTTAAAACTTATTTATTGTTATAACTATTTGGGGATTTATTCTAAGAAACAAGGCATCACGATTTGTTTATCTCTTTGGAATTAAATCCATGTTTTGTATAGAGACTCTATCCCTATCAAAGTAAAATATTCTCCCTAAATTTTTAATATCAATCCAGGCCATCCAGGGCAGTGGGAATTGTACTTGGTAGGCAACTGGAGGGGGGGCCCGATTCTCTATCGACAAACGTATGCGTAAACTCTGCTCTAACAGAAAAGCTGCAAGCTTATTAGCTAAAAACTGTGCGATAGCCAATCACGTTGCAGCCTTTCTGTTAGAGCAGAGTTTGCGCATACGTTTCTTGTTAGAGAATCGGGCCCCTGTTCTAGCACTGGGCTATTCGGCACCTTTCATTGTTGCTTTGATTACCATAAAAAATATTTTGTTAACAGCTTATAGAGAACAAATCGCGTCTGGCAAAGCGACGTTCGCTGAACTCGCCTCCAAGTACAGCGATTGCAGTTCAGCAAGGCGCGGCGGCGACCTCGGACCTTTCAGTCGGGGCGCGATGCAGAAGCCCTTCGAGCAGGCGGCATTCACGCTGAAGGTTGGCGAGCTGTCGTCACCTGTGCACACAGATAGCGGAATTCACATCATTCAACGGACTGCATAAGCCAGCTCAGCCTGAAACGAATTGCCGATACTTTGCGAGAAATCGCTTTCTCTCTCTTTCCATCTCTCTCTCTGTCTTTTAATCTTACAGTTTATAAAATTATGCCAATGGTATTCTCCCAACATTCTATATACTGGCTGTTGTGGTATACTTATTTAAGTCAGCATTTGAACTTTATGCTTATTTGAAATCACAGTTTCAAAAAGCATTTCTTTAGGCGTGTCATACTTGTCTCTTTTACCATATGTTTGGCATTTGCCTAGGTTTCATCCATTTTCAGAAGATATATTAAATGCTTTACTTAACTCTTCATAATTTGGACGCCTGTTTAATTCAGTCATATTATTCATGCGTGACAAATTTCTTTTGATATTTTTCTTTTACAGATTGCACATACTATTTGAATGATTTCTTTTCTTGTTTTAGTTTTAATCCAACTATGTGTGCGTTCCGTTTTACGCATCATGCGCATCATGCGTGAAACGGAACGCACCCTATACTTATTATTTGGCATTTTAACGCGATCTTACTAACACCGGTCACTGTTCCAAACTAAAGGCATCACTTGAGAGAGCGTTTTTTTTTATTTTTTGTGTGTTTTTATCAATATAATTCCGCTTTGCAATAAGATAATAAATTAATGGTGCAATCATAAAGAAATTAAGGCATCATTAGCAGACAGACGCATGTTAAAACGTTATCGTATAAAAGCGACGATATTATACCCTCCCTTAATATTAGAAAAAATAATAATTGAATACATGTTCCTTGACAAATATCATTATCCTACTACTGAATGCATAATTGTGTTAATATAATATTAATGTCTTCCTTGACCTGATGGAAGTTAAAATACTGGCTATACGATGATATTATTACATTAATTTTTTATCATTGTAATTAGAGCGAAATCGAAATCATGCAAAATATTAAAAAATATGTCAATGCGGTATTAGTTATTTGTGTAACAAGTGAGGTAAGATGAAAATTCCCGGGTGCGGAGTTTACGCACGAGCCGAAGGCGGGAATTTTTATCTTTACACACGGCTTACATTCCCTATTTTATGTTGCAAGTGCCTGGAAAGTGGTCTATCACGCACGCGTAGCGTGCGTAATGGGGCACTTTCCATGCACGTGTTGCATAAAATATTTTTAGTAATCATCACATTGTAATATTGATTGCATGTTGAATGGCTAACTCTAATAGTGAAACTTCTTATTGTATTTTGTAACTAAATTGTATTTTGTAAATTTAACTGATTTGTATTCACAAATGATAAAGATTCATTGCTGTATAATAAAGTTGATCTGTAAAATATTTTATTCCATGATTGGCAAAAAATTATGATTAGCTAAAGTAAATTTCGTTTTTACGCAAATGCATTGACAAATAATATTAATATTATGATAAAATATTTCGTTGGTTTAAACCTTAAATAAGATGTGTGAACTATGAAACGTGATATGTTTATTTCTTGCTTTTCGTTAATTTTTCACCACTATGTGATACTTTACGTATTTATATTATGATACGTACTTGAACATTTCAATAAGCATTTCCATTGCTTTGCCTCGCTAATGGAATATGTATGTATTTTCAATATATAATGTTGGGGGAAGAGAAATCATGAGCGGCTAAAAATACTGCTGATTGAAACGATGTAAATCACATATTTCCGAAAAACATTATCTTCCAATCTAAGATTAACATACATGAGTTTATTGTCGTTAATGTAGTATGGTGGAATCAAAAATGCCTACTCTCCTTCGAATAAATAAGTTATGGACAGGAGGATAATAAATTAAGGAAATATTTTGAGATGTTTCGTCTATACATATGTTTCCACGTTCTGAAAGACGTAGATCTTTTGGAGATAGTTAATTTTTAAAATAGATAATTCATATGTAATCCTGTTACATGTAACTTGTAACGTCATTACGTTACGGAAGAACGTAATTTACGTTCGTAACGTAAAATATATGAGACTAGCACAAGATATGAATCGGTGCAATTTCAGGAAATCAGTTTTAACTTTCTTGCATAATGTAATTGAATTAATATATGACGTGTGAATTCACGATACTCGCCATTATGGTTTCACGAGGTGATTTATATTTAAGTGAACATTAAATATACATGTAGCAGAGGAATAATGTATATGTATTAAACTCGCACTCCAGCAAGACTTTGATTGTAACTCTAAGGTTTGCATGTAATATTTTACACGCTAGTACGATAGTTAGATTTATTTCAATAATCTGTTTCATCGCTTTTTCCTTGATCTTTCTAATATTTTTAAAGCATTATAATACACTGCATAATAATAATGCTGTTTAATTGAATTGTATATAACATACAGGTTACACAAAAATATTTGCATTGTGCTTTCGGAACATAGATTTAAGCTAAGATTTTCGTGCTCAATTAAAGTTGCTGGAGTATTTCCAGATAGATTTGATTACGAAATATTAATTCTGAAAGGACCGACGTATTTATATATATGTATGTCATAGTGGTTCATTTAGATAGAAATGCAATTACACGCAATAATATAAAGGTTTTCTTTCATCCTTTCCTCCTGTTTTTCACGTCTGTTCGGCAAGAGATTATAAAATGTACAATTCAGTGCGAGAGGAAAATACGATTACTTGAATCTGACGAAAGGGCAGTCTTTTGACGCTCGCTAGCGAAAATTTAAAATAATTTTGACTCTTAGCGTTAATGCGAAACGTTATTGAAGAGTACACACGAAAAAAATCAAAGACTCGAATTAAAATTGCAGCAATATTATTGCAGACCGACAAACATGCGCGACTACTATGATGACTCACGATTATGGTTACATTTAATCAAATCATTATCTTTTTAAAAATTAAATTAAATTAAATTTTTTTTGCAGGAAATAAATGTTATCGTTGATGTTAAATTAAAGTATTTAACGATTCAAGCATGGCACGATATTGTAGATAATTATAATTATTATCGTTAATTATTAAGCACTATTAATTACATATTTTCTAATTTTATTGTAAATATATGAAGTGTAATTTGAACAATAAAACAACAGTCGCCAAATAAAATCCTACGAGTCAATCGCTATGTATTTATCGGTTTTGCTTCTATTAAAAAGAATAAAATACAGTTTAACAATAAAATACAGTTTAACAATATTGAAATGTCATGTCATGTGTATATATACCAATATATACATTTTGTATCTTTAATTCTTTTAAGACAATTTATTGTTTTTATAATTGTTTTAATTTTAAAAAGACCTTTATTGTTTATTGTGAAAAGTTTTAAAATGATTTCTTTTCTAGTAGGAGTTGTTTTCTTTAAGGAAAAAAATGAGATTAAAATTTTGCATAACTGTCGAGACAATGGAATTTTTGGCGTTTTAACAATTCAGTGCGCCTCTTGAGAAATTTTTATTTTTCAAACGAATATAATTATATTACAATTAATTGGCAATAAAAATATTAGATTGTTATTATATAATTTAACGTAGTATCGCACAAAACATCGTTCAACCGTTTGTCTATCGGTTTATATTGAGTTTTGATCACATTCTTAGCTTTCTGACTGCGATGTTTACTCTCATAAACGTTACTTAATCGTTCGCATTTTATTACGTATTTTTCAGCTTTAAAAGATGAAAAGTCAAGGTTGTGTGTAGATGTATGTACAGTACGTTAGAAACGTTAAACGAAATATCGCACGATCGTCATGGTGTGTTAATAACAATATATTTATCATGCACGTTGTCTTAATGTGATTATCTCATCACTCTCACTTTCATTTAAATTTAAATGAACGTAGCATCAAATCGGTACTTTAATTGCTATTGATTGTACTTAATATTTAGATTATGAGATAATTATTTATTGAAATTCAGAAATGTATTAAAATCGCATTTTGTTATTTCCACACGCCGAGTTCGAAGTTGCATGCGCTTTTTCATAAAAAATAATTCGATCGTACGAACGAAATGTAACGCGATCGCGACCGCTATATTTCTTCGCGTCGGTATATACACGTTATACTTAATTGCTCGTTTATCATCCATTTAAAGTAGCCAAGGAAATGAATGTTTCTGCATGTCAAGAAGATGCCGGATGATATATCGCGCGATTGTTATCAGTATATATTAATTAATATTCGCAATAAACGATGTTTTTCTTGTCGCTCGCGATTTAAATGAACGTCGCGCCAAATCAACATTTTATAAAATGCTGTTTACAAAATTCATCGTTAATTTTTACGTTTGAATACTGAAGATTTTATATTTTTGAATTATCTGCATTAAAATTATCTCGGTGTTGGTCACAATAATTAGAAAATAAGATAATTAATTATTTGTCATATTCAGCAATGTATATATATATTGAGGTCACATTTCATCACTTCGATTCTTAAGCCGAGTTCGAATCGGAGTAAAGTCGCGTGCGCTTTTTTCATTTAATTAAAAATAATTCGATTGTACGAACAAATGTTAGCAATGCCGAGCGAAGTGTAAAGCGCGGCGATCGCAACCGCGCCATGTTCGTTCGCGCCGATATAGGCGTCGCTCGTCCGTCTCAAAGACGTACTTAAGTATTTTCACCGCTCCTCGTTTTTCGCGTTTTTACCCGTGAAAAGTGAACGTTCCACGTAAAGTGCGTCGGGAGTGCCGAATGAAATGTCGTGCGGTCGTCGTGACGCGTTAATTATCGCGCGCGTTCGTAAGAAATTCACATATCTTCATCAATCGAGTCATCAATTGACGAAATTAAAACGACGAGATGAGAATGACGGCAGTAGAACTGGCAATAGAACTGGAAAGAATATGCGCGATATGGTGTGCCGCTTAGGTGAGTAAATCCGTTGATTGTATTATATTAAAATCTAATTTAATTATATTTATGCGATCGAGCTTAATTAGTTACATATACTTTATGGAAATATGAAAAAGTAAAAAAAATAATTTATTAAATAAATTATCATCGTTACCTTAATTAAATTCTTTTTGATACTTGTTAGGTTTAAAAAAGTGAAAATTGTGGAATGCTTTCGTAAATGTATTTTGTAAGAATTCTTCGATTTGCCAACGTTTCAACAATTTATCGCTTTTAATAAATTATATTAATTACTTTTTCCACGACCTGAATCCTTCATGAAAATGATCGTGGCCGCCTCATAAAATGACTCATTAAGCGCGAAAGGGTTAAAGTGGTCACGCTACCTCGATCGGCGTAATGCGCGATACACTGATTACTCGAGTGATTTGCTCTAGTGCGTATATTTGTACCTATATATACTTACGCATGTAACAACGTTGCATTAAGCAGCATTGCATCGCGCCAGCAAAAAGTTTGCGTTTCCTTTTTTTTATAGAAAATTCGTTATCTACTAATCTTAGTGTAAGATTATTTTCTAATTTATTATTTTTATATTAATTATATATTCAATTATATTATTATTATTCGATAATTGACACATTTGATGCGTTTTGTAAAATTTTTTATTGAAACATGAAATCTTTTTTCAAACAAAAATATTAATGGGACCATGCACAAATGACACATTCGAACCGCGACTTATTAAAAGGAGAAAATTTTTAATTAATTGAGTTTATATTATATATTTATTACGTTCATTATTATATATAAATCTTTTTTTATTATTAAAATTTTTCGCGAGTTACGGAGCCCGTAGCTTTGAAATGTTTTTTTATTTTTATAAACTTGCAGCAAACTTTTTACAAATCACAGACAATTAATTGATCCTATTGATTTTTATTGCACAGACAATCGGCTTTTGCTTGTAAGCTTCTGAAATAGTGATCCCTTAAACTTAAACGGGCCAAACGACGGTGATTGATATGCTATTATATGGAACTGCGAACACGATGTATCGCCGCGCGCATTACGTCAATCGCGTCCCCAGGTTGTTCGAGCGGTGTGTTGATACGCGCGATTACATAATAATTTGGAGCAAATTTCGCGCGGTGTTCCCA